CTGATCAACTACCCAGTTACGGGTCTTGGCAGAACAACCAAGGATATCCTTTATAGAATTACAAGTGCTCTGCTTATGTATCGGGGTTGTGTTGAAATATTCTATGTTGAATATTGAAATGCTACAAAATGTCTTCGGACTCAAGAGTGTGTAATGGAATAAACTGTGTCTTGATTTAGAACATCTCTTTCTCCCTCTCTGCAACTGGGAGACCAGCTTCTCTCCCTCCCCAAAGTGAACACGGTGGGGATGAGGGTGCGTGAAAAGGTTCCTGCATGCCTCGTTTCCCCAAGACAGTTTCAACCTCAACCGTTAATCCTCCCCCTCCCCCACAAGTCTGGCCTTCTGGTGGCAGCTACGTGACGTCCAGGATCCCTGATGGTGGGGGCGGCAATAGGTCTCTCGGGTGTCCTGGGCGTGCCAGTGAGTTGCCTCCAGTTGGACTTCACTACGGGACACACCTGACACAGGCCAGGTCACGGGCACCGGACAGCAGGGGAAGTCACCTGAACAAGCAGTGGTCTGCTTGGTGCTTTTGCCAGCAGAAGTGGTCTGTGGGGTGGGGGCTTTTTGCCCCTTTTCTCCAGCATCCCATGTCTTCCCTCGGGCATGGGGAGCCAGAGGAGAGGGGGGAAAGAGCCCCCCTCCCAGCCTCCCTTCTCCCTGGCAAAAGCAGCGGGAGGGGCACTGAAAGCTGCCCCCCTCCCAGCACCACGTGAACGAGCACTGCTGGCGGTGTGTTCCCCCAGGGCACCCTTCTGACTGTGCGTCTGGTCACGCACCTGTCATCCCCAACACGTGTTGGGCGCATCATGGTCCTGGCTGCAATCCTAAGAACGTTTCCCCAGCTTTAAGCGCCACTGAATGACATGGGGCTTAGTTCCAAGCAGAGCGGCTTAGGATTGCCACCAAAGACAACTATGCGATGAGTAAACATTTTCTTCAGAAACACTGGAGTGACTTCTGTGACCCTTTGGCTCTCTGCTCCTTAAACCACCTCTTCATGGACTGCTGATTTCCCCTCCATACTTACTCCGTAGGACGCATTCAGTTGGTAGGTCGGAATCGGCAACCCATTCATCTGCCTTGCTAAGTTCACCCTTGACATCTCTGTCTCCTTCGCCAGGGGGAAGGCCTGAATCTTTTCCTAGGAAGTTTAACACCAACAAATCAAATATTAAATGAAAAAGGGAACAGCTCAGAGTCCAGTAACAGAGCATAACTTTTGCTTGCAGTAGATCCCAGATCTACTGGGATCAGAAAATGCCAAAGAGCACTAACGGGCGGAGGGGTACTCTCCTGGTGTGTGTGGTGCCAGAGACAACATCCTCTCCAGGGATCCCCCTCCCTGCACTCCCTCCAGGGCCCAGGCAGGCGGGGGGGGGGGGGCTTGGCTGAAGGCCACCACTCACTCCATGGCAGAAGTCATTCTGGGCACAGATTTTTGGGCCAAATATCAGAGTCTCACTGGTGACACGATGACATCACTTCCAATGAATGCCAGAGGAGGTGACATCACTGCTGGGGGACCCTTCCCCACCCCTGGCGGGTGCCTGGCAAGCCTCCAGGGAGCAGAGCACGCACACACACACACACACACACACCGGGGGTCCCTTCTAGTCCTCCAGGCCCATCTGGATGCATGGCTGCATTTCAGGAGTGGAGAACTCAGGTAGACTGAATGAGAAGTGGTTTATTAAGCAAGGATTATAGCAAGAAAGGGCAAAACTCACAAAGAACGCAGCCGGCAAGACATCAACAAAGCTTCCTGACACAACCCCCTTACCGTAGTCCCTGTTCTATGGCAACACAGGGCCCACGGAGGCCAGATGGGGCAAGGATCCACCGTCTCCAGAAACAGCCTCACTGCTGCTTAGCTTCCAGGGCCAGAACACCCCCCCCTCCCCTGTGTTTAGAGTCCGGTTTCCCTCCATTTCTCCCCAGTCCGATCCTTTGTGGAAGGGAGGCTTCCTTGAGGCCCGCGGGGTCACGTCTTCCTTCCCCTTGAGGCCCAGGATCACGACAGGCACCCCGGAGGCCTGAATCCTCCTGCCTTCTCTCATTGAACTGAACCTGCCCCTTCAAGGGGGGGCTTCACAGGAGGGTACTGAGCAGGTGACCATTGTAAGGCCAAAAAATGGTTGCTGAGAAAGGGTCTTTAAAAGGCCACCTATGACATTTAAGAAACAGTAGCATCCTAAAGTAAATGCGACGTATGAAACACCCCTTGTTACCTAGGACACAAGGCCAAGGGCATTTCAGCTGTTTCTTCCCATGTAGTCAACGATCACAGAATAGCCATAAAAATGTACTCCTGTGTCCAAACATGCAGATACAGAGAGAGAGAGAGAGAGAGAGAGAGAGAGAGAGAGAGAGAGAGAGAGAGCTCTTCGTGCCTCAACGCCTCCGCAAACCAAGGCTTCAAGAAGGGCGGGGGGGGGGCGGTCAGGCACGAGGACCTCCTGGGCTCCCCCTCTTAGAGACTCGTGTCCTCCAGTCCAAAGCAGAGCCAGGGGTGTGTCTGTATCTTAAAGCTGCAAATCAGTCAGAACAAGATATGAACCAAGGTAAGGATTATGACTGGCCCCGATCAATGTTCCCTCTAAGCTGGGGAGTCTTCTGAGCAAGAATCCTACTTTGTGAGCTACTGGCATGAAAGTTGTGGGCCAGCAATTTGGCCGCTGCATCAGTTAGTTTGCTCTGGAGCCCCATCCTTCCTGAGCGAAGGCAAAGATGTGTGAGCTGGAGGCTGAAAAACTCCGAGCTGGCTCACAGTAACTCAGCTTAGAGGGAACGCTGGCCCCGATCCCCATCCATTCATCCAAGGAGGACTGGCGAAAGGATCAAGAAGACACCCCGGAAGCAGGAGGCGAGCAGGGGCGGAGGGGGAGCCGGAGACGTCTGACTCTCCCCCCCACCCCCCTTCCCGGGCCGGCTGCGGGGGGTTCTCCGCCTCCCCCGGCCCCGCACGGCGCGGCGGCGGGGCTCGGGAGGAAGGGGAAGGGCCCTCGGCCGGCCGGGGGACAGGGAGAGCCCCGGGCAGGCAGGCAGGCAGGCAGGCAGGCAGGAGGCCCCGGG